TCCCGGTAGCTCTCCGGCGCGGGCGGAGCTGCTCCGGGGGGTGCACTTAGGCGGCGGCAGTCTGGCGTGGCGGCGAGGTTCCGTGGCGCGCTGCAGGCGAGCAGCTGGGCGGCGGCGGCACCGTTGGCGGCGGGGCGGCGCGGCGGCGTGATCTGGCATCGTCCGCTCGGCCCAGATCTAGGCCCTTCGGGTCCCATCTGGGCCTGGGCGGGTCGGCGGCGGGGATGGTCTCTGGCATGACTTCTGGGAGGCGGGGGAGACGCGACAAGCGACTGGGTGCTGGCGGCGCCGACGCCGGCCTGCTGCATCGTGGCCGGCGGGGTTTAACGGGCCGCTTCAGGCATGGCTGGGCCAGGGGTGGCCCGGCATGCCCCTGGCCAAAGAAGGAGTTCGAAAGCCTCGTATGCTTGAGGAGTCTGCAGATTTTGTACTGCAAACAACTGGTTGGATACACGCAAGCTCGTGCAGCTGAGCCATCAACAGCCTCAGAATCCTCGAGCCAGATCTGCCACATCTCGAGTCTGTAAAAGCATGGTAGAGGCCTTCAAACTCCCTGCGTCCCTGAGGAAAATGTCCATCGATGATCGCAGTAATCTCAAGTCCATACTCAACACGAGTCTGCAGCAGGGAGAGTCAACATCATCGATTCTTCAAGGGTCACCTATACATTCAGAGGTGTTATCATCATCAGCCATAGCCAGGGTGGAACATTTTCCCTGTCCATGTTTAGAAGATATAGTCATACACACGTGTGACAGCTTAACAGGGGTCCTCAGTCTCCTCATTCCTAAAGATTATTGTAGTTTATGATTGCTTTGAGTTGAGATCAGTGGAATCCCACTCGGGCGAGTTGCCATCACTGGAGAGCCTTTACTTCAAACATTGCAAAGCCCTGTCATCCCTTTCAGATGGGCGGCAAGCAGGCCTGCAGCAACGTCTAAGCAGCCTGGATGCCCGTCAGCTAGGTTTGTACCCACACGTCAGTTTCCTTCTCTATTAGCAACAAATTCAGAATCCTTCCGGATGTACAACTACTCGAGCCAGGCCAGTAAACGAAGAGGGCCTTGTTTGTTTTTTCAGTGTAATAATAGCAACCATGTGTACACTCAGTAATTACTATACTGAACTAGAGAGTATATTTAATCCCGTAGTCACAGATAATGGCAATAGCACCCACCAAAGCAAATGGTAACAGCATGACTAGTACAGTAGTAACACTACCCAACAAGTTAATTCTTCGTTCCTCATGCTTTTCCAGTGTAAACTACTATAATACTCCCTCTGTAAACTAATATAAGAGTGTTTAGATCATTATACTTTAGTGTCTTAAATGCTCTTATATTAGTTTACGAAGGGAGTACTTACAAATTTCCCGTGACATCATTTGTGAACAGAGCATGTTAGGAGTAAGCCAAGCAACGGTGGTGATCAGACTGCGCGTCCGGACGCTGGTGCGTGCCCGCGTCCATGGCCGTGGCGAGTGGAGTCTCCGAGCCGGCCGAGTCTCTGTGCGGCAGTTCCTGCATGCGTGGTGCATGGGCGATGCGTCTCCTGCAGCCTACAAAGCCGGCCTCGTCCATGTTGTTAGTAGCGTGCATGTAGCTAGGGATTAGCTAGGTAGTTAGTGCATGGGGTTAGTGGACGATCTGGGCGACTGGGCCGTGCGTGTGCGTGTCTCTATGTATTAAAGTGGCAGCAGTGCTGCTGTGTAAAGGTGCCAGAGAGAGATGTAGCTTCTGGGAGTGTATGTATGCTCGCCGTGGGGTGGAGTGATCGAGTTCGTGCTCGAGAAGAAAATAGAAAAACCGTTCGTGCGGCAGGGGGTGTTTGAGCGCCCGGAAATTTTGTGTGTCCATCTTCTTCCTCTCCGGCCACTAGTAGAAAAGGGGCAATGGTCCAGGCCGGGCCACCCCATTAGTCCCGGTTCAGTCTAGAACTGAGACCCATGGGAGCATTGGACCCGGTTCGTGAGCCCCGGGGGCCGGCCGGGCCACGTGGGCCATTGATCCCGGTTCGTCTGGACCTTTTGGTCTCGGTTGGTGGAACGAACCGGGACCAATGGGCCTCGCTCCTGGCCCACCACCATTGGTCCCGGTTGGTGGCTTGAACCGGGACCAAAGGCTGCTCTTTAGTCCCGGTTCATGCCACCAACCGAGACTAAAGGGTTGGTCCTTACTGCGGTCAGAGTTTAGTCCCACCTCGCCAATCGAAGGGCGCTCACACCGGTTTATAAGCCCCTCCCTCTCTGCCTTGTTGAGCTCCTCTCAAAGTAAAAATAGATGCCCTTATACAGGGAATTTGACCTAAATTCATACTGAAGTTCATAGAAATTTATTATCAATTTAGGTTGAATTCTCTCTATAAGCGCATCTATGCTCATTTTTTTAGTAAAGTTAATCACAAACATGTGATTCACACAAATTTCAAAGAATTCAAATTTTAATTATTCATGCCACCAATCGGTTCATGCCACCAACCGGGACCAATGATATGCCTATATATACCATGCCAAAATGAAAGAGAGGCGCAATGCTCATCTGCACGTTGCTTAGCTTCAGGCCAACGTGCAGGTGAGCACTGCGCTTATCCCTTCATCGTCTCTACACTCAGGGCTTATAAACCGCTGCGAGTGCCTCTCACTTGGCGAGGTGGGACTAAAAAACAGCTGCAGAAAGAATCAACTAAAAAACTCTTTTACTGGTTCATGCCACGAACCAGTATTAAAAGGTACTCGTGGGGCACCAGCCTTAAAACCTGTACCAAATATAATGCCTTTGTAACATCCTTAGAACTGGTACTGAAGGA